CCCTCCAGATTTTGATGGATCTAAGGTGGAAGAGGACCCACAGGAGTTTGTGGATGATATTAAAAAGATCACTTGGATTATGGGTGTCACTCCCTCAGAGAGTGCCGACTTGGCTGCCTACCAGCTGAAAGAGGTAGCCCAATTCTGGTACTAACAGTGGAGGGAGGGGAGGCCAGCGGGAGCAGGACTAATGGAATGGGAGGAGTTCGCTATAGCCTTCCTAGATAGATTCTTCCCTCGAAAGCTCAGGGAGGCAAAAGCAGCGGAGTTCATAAATCTGAGATAGGGAAATAGAATAGTAGAAGAATATGCTCTCGAGTTCACCAAGTTTTCTAAATATGCTCAAAAAATGGTGGCCGAGCCAATGGCTCACATGCTGAAGTTTGTTAATAGAGTGTCGAACTTGGTCCTCAAAAAGTGCAGGACAGTGATGTTGATTAAGGATATTGACCTCTCCAGCCTTATTGTTTATGCCCAGCAGATTGAGGCAGAAAAACTGAAGGACATGGAGCGGAGGAACAAGCGTGCAAGGAAAAGCCAATCAAATTATGGCCACCAGAGGTCAGGCGATAGTAGCCACCCACAGCAGCAGCAGCAGAGGGCTCCAACACCCAGCTCAGCCAGCGCCCCTATCTTTCGGTCCTGCCAGGATCGGAGGGGTGGAGTATCTAGCTCTTAGTCCCAGAGCTACAGTGCCAGCAATAGGTATCCAGCTTGCCCTAAGTGTGGCAAGCACAACCCAGGAGAGTTTCTTCATGGTCGAGAGGGTTGTTTTGTTGTAGACAGCTAGGTCATCAGCTTAAAGAGTGTTCGTCAGCAGGATGAGAAGGTCACAATCCACTACCTCAGTAGCTCCAACAGGCCGACCAGCTCAGTAGGCCAATACTTTAGGTACAGATGGCGATCAACGCCAAAATCATTTTTATGCATTATTATCTCGTCAGGAGAACTCACCTGATGTGGTCACAGGTATGTTACGTCTTTTCCACCTAGATGTATATTCCCTACTAGATCCCGGAGCTACACTATCGTTCGTGACTCACATAGATGTCCAGTTTAATATCAGTCCAGAGGTCCTCTCAAAACCGTTTTCAGTCTCCACCCCAGTTGGCGAGTCAATTAGAGCCAGTCGGGTGTATAGAAACTGCCCAATTTCAGTTTTCAATAAGGTCATTCCAACTGATCTTGTAGAATTAGACATGGTCGATTTTGACCTCATCCTTGGCATGGATTGGTTACACTCCGGTTATGCCTCAGTCGATTGCAGAACTAGAGTTGTCAAATTTCAGTTTCCAAATGAGTCAGTGTTAGAGTGGATGGGCAGTAGTTCAGCGCCTAAGGGTCGTTTTATTTCCTACCTTAAGGCCCAGAAGCTTATTTCTAAGGGATGTATCTATCATCTAGNCCTTAAGGCCCAGAAGCTTATTTCTAAGGGATGTATCTATCATCTAGTTCAGGTCAAGGATTCCAACTTTGAGACCCCAACTATCCAGTCAGTCCCTGTTGTCAGCTAATTTCCTGATGAGTTCCCCGAAGATCTTCCCAGAGTTCCCCCCTGAGTAGGAAATCGACTTTGGTAAAGACCTTTTCCCAGATACTCAGCTCGTCTCCATCCCTCCTTAAATAATGGTTCAAGATGAGCTCAAGGAGTTGAAGGAGCAGTTGAAAGACCTTCTCCGCCCATGCCGAATACCCCCAGCCAATTTCGCTGGGTAAGGCCAGGAACTGGTTTGGGGAATCGCGAGGCCTTACTTGTTCAGGTGGGACTTGATTCTAAAATGGAATGATTGATACAATCGATATTTCATAGAAGAATGACCAATACCATCAAATCCTTTCACACCCGCACATGTGGCTTCATATATAAGGAAGTTTACACACCCTGGAAAAATCCATCCTCTATCCCTGACTTACCAGCTTGATCGCTTGTCTTATTTACCCTTTTCTTAGCGGGTGGTTTATGTTTGGTCCTTTCGGGTCGCCTGACCTGGGCTGATGGCGCTTCTTAATGGCTTGTCTGGAGTCCAGCGGCTCTCTAAGGCTTCGATGTACTAGTACCTGCCACCAAAATATCATAAAGGATTCAGTGAACGTCTTAAAACTTAGTAACACAAGACAATTCACTGAATGGTTGTTGGCTCTACCGGAGGAGTCTGAAATCAACAAAATGTAACTGCTTGGGCATTGAGTCTTCCGCTGCTTGAGGAAGTATGTGAGAGGATCGATGTTGAGCAAAAGTGGGGTTAAAGCAGCCAACAACGCATCCCCCTTTACTTAGTAGGGCTTGAAAGGCTAGACAGTTTGTATTCCTTTCCTGTCTAGTATTTTCAATCCAAGCCGAAATAGGAAAAGCCACAAGCACCACTAGGACCGGTCGTCGGTTGAACTTCAGTAGGGTCCAATATTTATTCCTTACTCAAATAGGAGGGTGGAAATCTCAATGACGTGGCGTGGTCCAAAACAAGCCTTTGCAGATCCATGGGCTTTTTCTTTTGGTTACAAGAAGTGCTTCTTTGCTCGCTTGTAGCTCCTCAACTCGAGTTTCCGCTGTAGGATTCAGTGAGGTGATGAGAGCTGAAGACAAGGTTCCTTTCTACGCTCCATTGATGTTCATACGATTCTTGTGGATTTTGGGTGTGTTTGAATTCAGCCTCTCGTTAGGTCTTCACTGAAGGATTGTCCACCTTCTCAAGCCTCTCTACCATACCCTTAGAAAGTAACAGCGGAGACTTCCATTACTAAATGGAAGAACTTTTCAAACTAGTTGATAGTTGTTCCCTACTTGCACCCCACAATGGGTTCTAATTTAGTAATCACATGTGTCTATTTTCGGAACATCACATGTAGACTTTTTTGGGGGAGAATCACTTGGCGTGGGGCCTCCCGTGTGAGGTTAAGTGATGGTCAACAACTCAGGTAGGAAATGCTAAAAAGCGGCTAACGATGCAAGAGCTTTTTTCCCCTTATATGCTCTAAAAAAAGGGTATGTCGGGTTTTTGGACCCTATGTTGAATAAGGGTTCCAAACCTTCCAAAAGTGATAGGTATGTGTTCTTTCTTGGCACTCTCTTTCTATATTATGCCAACCTAAAAAGAGTGATGGAAAGTGGATTTCAGGTTCGATAGTCTCTAGAAGGTATTAGCCACTGGTGACCATACTTTCGTAAAAGCACCATTGGACAGTGGTTCCTCTCCTTCCTCTTGAACCTCGAACAAAAAATCGATCTCACTATCATCTCGACTAAGAGTTCCAAATCGAAAAAGTAAACTAAACTTTACTTAAGACGAATCAGCAGATGAGTTGTGGTTAGGGGTGAAATTCCACTCAAACCCAGAACTAGTTGGTTCTTCCCGAAATGCATTGAGGTGCAGCAGTTGACTGGACATCTAGGGGTAAAGCACTATTTTGATGCAGGCCGCAGGAGCGATACCAAATCGAGGCAAACTCTGAATACTAGATATGACCTCAAAATAACAGGAGTCAATGTTGACTAGTGAGACGATGGGGGATAAGCATTCATCTTTGAGAGGGAAAGAGCCCGGATCACCAGCTAAGGCCCCTAAATGACCGCTCAATGATAAAGGAGGTAGGGATGCAGAGACAGCCAGCAGGTTTTCCTAGAAGCAGCCACCCTTGAAAGAGTGCATAATAGCTCACTGATTGAGCGCTCTTGCACTGAAGATGAACGGGGCGAAGCAATCTGCCGAAGCTGTGGGATGTCAAAATACATCGGCAAGGATATTTGAATTCCTTGCCCACTCTTTCCAGTATTTTCTAAAAAACAGCAATTAGGAATAGAGAATATATATCAAAGAAAGTTCTAACTGTTGGAATCATTTTTTACATTGCTATTTGATACATTTCGGTCATTAACATTAGTGAATTAGGTGAAAGTGCGGAAAGAGAGGGATTCGAACCCTCGGTAAACAAAAGCCTACATAGAAATTCCAATGCTACGCCTTAAACCACTCGGCCATCTTTCCTACATAATGATTATGACCCAAAAACCAAGTGGATAGCGAGTCAGTCATAAATAATTTTTTATTGGATAGGTACGACCAATCCATTCTAACTAGAAAAATATCCAATTTTGTATTCCCGTTTTCTTTTTTCTTTTATCCTCCTTCCTTGGATTAGTACTGGGACGCATATATCAAAAGCTCAGTGTGAAATTTGAATGAGATATATCTTCTTTTTTTCAAATTCAAAATGTTCATAATTGAGGTTACACAAAATCGGAGCCAGAAAAGGAAAAAGTGAAATCTGGAAAAGTATTCTCTAAAGGTAATGTAATTGAGTAAAATTCATTTTGCATCATACAAGAAAGGAATTCCATTTGTGTATGTGCTCCCGATAAAAAGAAATAAGGTACTCTATTCCATTACATACATGGATCGGGTTGAAGAACCAGACCCAGTCTCTCTTTGAATCTTGAATATGTCAATAAATAATGAATTGTACTAATCCACATATGTCTCTCTCCCATCAATCAGTACTAATTGAAATAATGAAAAAATCCCCTTTCCTTACAGTCAAGTGGCTTTCAGCTCCTCTGGCGTGCCCTAGCCGAGCGGTCCTCGCCTGCACAAGCAACCAAATTAGCTCCTTCATTCTCTTATTGGGCAAACAAGGTAGGGTTAGATTAGATGGAGGAGGACTGTGAAAGTCCGTACCATGAAGCGCCAAGGAACCATGCATTCCTCCCAGGTTGGGCTCTCGCGTGTCTGGGATTCGATCAGATCTACCAGCGACTGGTTTATGAAACAAGGAGTTAAGCAAGGGCTAGAAGATTGAAAAAAGAACCTGGCCGAAGTCAGTCTTGTGTTCAATTCCGCAGTTGGAAGGATTTCTTTCTGCCATCTGTCTCTCTCTTCTCTCTCTTCTCTTATAAAAGGTAGGTTCAAGTCAAACTTTTGGCTTGCAGGATCAGGGACTGCAGTCAGCTGCTTCCCTTGTAGTCGTCAGCTTGTTCTTGACAGATCCGATCGGGTGATAATAATCTGGAGTAAAAAGATTCGAACCTTTTCATGCCGGTACCAAAAACTGATGCCTTACCACTTGGCTATACTCCATAGGCCAGTTTTGGACGGTAGGAATGGGGAGTGGGGGAAGGGAGAAGCAGGGCTCGAAGAACGAGCCGAGTCATGCAAGGACGCGGGGATATAGCAAGTAAGCAGCAAGGTTCTCCCCTTAGGACCGACTACAACAAGCTCGCAACTCTAATAGAAAGAAAGGGTAAGCTCTCTGCTCTATTAGCTTGCAATGTTATGCCTATCAAAGTTGGCGAAGGCTTCTCTAACCTAAGACTCGTTATGCTGTTCGACTGCACTCGTTGGCTCTGCATCCACCGAAAGTCGGTAACCTTCATCACCATCAGTATTTGGTACTCTCTCGATAGCTTCAATAGTTCACTAATAGCCTTTGGTGTAATAAACCACAAGCCCTTCAGAAAGAAAGACATAATATAATAATGAATTAATTAATAAACATTAAGAATTCAAAAAAAGGGTTGGTTAAGAATTATTGACTGTAAACCATAGCAGTTACAGTCACTCAATGGAGATGCTCGCCTTTGTTTTGAATAAAGATGGATGAACAGGCACTTGAGCCTGGAACTGATGAAATTCGGGGAAAACATTAAAGCGGTCACTATACTGGGGGGCAATACATGAACGCGACTTAAGAAAAAAGTACCCTTGAAAAGACTAAATGAACGGGGGAATGACTCCCTGTAATAAAGCACATGCTAATACGAGCGGACCGGAAGAAGCAAGGCTTAGATTACCAGACCCTGGACACAATTTTCCTAGAGATGGAGAGCCACTTGCCTCGCCTTTTTGCACCTATCCCTCTTGCTTGCTTACCTATAGCTCTCTTGTCTTCGTGACTCTTTCTCTTTTCTAGGTTTTTTTCTGAGTATTAAAATGATAGATTTTGCATTTGCCAATGAATTGGATCAGCCCCGATTCGATCAATAATGGGATTCTTGGCTAGAGAAAGGTTCTATGACATGGATGATCTCGGGCAAAATAGCATGCCCGAGTGATGCTTTATAACTTAATTTAGTCTTGTTTAGTTAATTAATTATATACATTTTCATGTGATTTTATATAAA